CGGGTGACACTCCAGAATTGGAGTGACATCCCAGAAGAGGGGGGTGATTACCCGGGCGGTCCTCTTTCCTCTTGGGGTTTCCCTGCGGCCACAGGCCTGGTTTATAGGGCTTCCTGCAGTCGCGGGCCTACTCCCTGGGGGCGTGCAGGGATTCTTCAGCCCTCCCTGGGGTCCTGGGGCTGTCCCCTGGGGGTGCGCGCAACAACTCTGGTCATGCGCTGGCGCTCCCGTGCAACCAGAAGTGCTCTGGAAGTTGCACGCCAGAAGTCCCACTGATATTGTAGCAGAGTAGGTCCCATTATCCCCAGACACAGATAGAGGAGTCCAAATAAGTCCAAAGCAAGTTCACCTTTATTCAGCTGAGGCAGACAACAGCTCCAAGATGGTGCTTAAAGAGTTGCTGCACCTTATTTTCCAAACACTGCCTTTTTATACTTTCACATAACAGGTTAACATCACACGATATGGTGTGCAGTTACAAAAGCTTTGCTCTTTAATTTCATTGGTTTATAACAACTGATCATGCTCCTATTCATGCTCTTCCTGCTCTCTATGCAATCAGGTTTTACCAGTTCTAACTAGCTACTAGCCTGCAACTTTCAGCTGACGCTTCAGATGGAAGTCTGAAGGGATGCCAATTTAATTTTTCACTTCAATATGTCCCACCCCCCATGAGTGACCGCACTGGGTTATACCAACCATAGGGACTCCACTGCTAAAGACAGGGTGAATTCATATAAAAATGTGCTAGTACTGTGGGCCATTCTTAATTGCCCCCAAATTTCTGTATCACATTGCCATCATTGTTGCATTGGCATATAATAAATAAAATACTAATAATTTCAAGATAACATCTCTGATGGTAGCAATAACTGTAGTAATAATAATAAAAACAATAATTGCTAAAAATCTTAGAGTCAACTTTAAAAATTAAAAGCGCAAATATCTTTTGGGATAATTTGAAACTGACCGTGGTGGCCCTGAGCCTGTTTCGAATGTCAGATCTAGTTTATGAACCATATGATTTTAAAGAAAAGAAGAAGACGATGAAAGGAGGGGGAAAAACCTTGTCAAACTGGAAGCATTTGTCATTTTAGAAGTCTAGCACTATAAGAAAATATATTTATTTTGAGTGGTTAGGGTCTTCTGAAACATGGCCTGCAGGAGCTGTGAAGTAGTCTGTATTTACTTCTGTTGCCCTGTTATTTGTTGCACATTTCTAGTGGAAAAATAAGATAGTAGTAAATAAAGTAGAATGTATCAGTAAGCAATTTGGAATGTATTGTACTGCTCGTATACATTACATGTCCTTCACAAACTTGCTATAATGACACTCTCATTTCTTCCTTTCACTTTATTTTGGAAACAAGGACCAGTGAGTTGAAACATTCAAAACCACATCTACATCCTAGGACTTGAATCAGATTTTCTGGTCAAGTAACTTTGTATTGGCTCTTATATTTGTGTAACCCAGTACCTTCAGTATTTATCTTATTTAAGCAATACATTGCAAAACAGTAAATAACTTGCAAAGGAGATTGATTGCTGAGGTGTCTGAAGATGACACTAATCTTTTATTGTGGAAGTGATGCAGGTATCATGATGGATGAAAATATAAGTAATTTTTAAAATATCTGAACCTTAAACTGTTGTTCATTCCATAGTGCTTTATTGCTTGATCACATTTTTAATAATTAATATTTCATAACATAATAGTGTTGAAACTTTTCTTCTTTGTCCTGAAACACTGTTTGCTTGGAGCAGTTAAATTATAATGCATATTTCACTTCGAAATATGTTATGGTGAGGTAAAGGTACATAGATGAGTGAAATTCTAGCAGCATAGATATCCTTGAGACCGGTCACTTTTGCCAAACTAGGACAGAGTCCTCCTGTTGAACAAGACGATTCCATTAAAGTGATCCTACACTTTTTCTTTCTTAACAGCTGTTCTTTTATAACAAGAGACAGCGTAGGAATGGTTTCGTAAAAACCTTCGTAAGGAACTCTTTGTAGGTCGTGTAGCATGTTTCATAAAGACTGTTTAGTCGTAACTGTTAGTTTGAATACTTCTGACTAGCATTAGTGGATAAAGTACCATTTATTTTGTTGGAGAAAGATAATAATGCTCCTGTAATGTACCTTGTTGGTCAAGAGATTTACTTTAAAATCTTAAGGGCCTAAAGAAAAAATTATTTGTAGAAATAGTTTTATTGTTTTTATTGGGAGTTTTTATCCATCCATGTTTATTTTTAGACTAATAGTCATAGGAGATAAATAATTAAGGTAAACTACACTTGCAGTTCTCCAGAGTGTTTTGCTTATTCTTCTTATGTATTTTTTTATTGCTTTAAAAATGTTTTTTATTCCTGGCACCCAGATTTCAAGTAATGGTGGATGCATTAAAAATACATAAGAAAACAAGTGCTTATGTTTACCACGTGGTAGTAGCCTCTACTGTGTTCTGGAATATTAAGTCACCCACAACCTCAAATACTGAAAGAAAAGAGAATTTTAAAAGTAATATTACAACAGCAAATTTATATTAAAAAAAATACAATTCAATGGTCATCTTTCCATGTAAAATACCCACAGCCTTCTATTCTCACCTTATTCATGAGATAATTGTGTATGTGTGTGTATATTTGTGTGTTACAGATTTGCAAGGAACAAATCTGAAAATCCAAATGCAGGTTGTCTTTTCACAGTCAGTTTTATATATAGTCGCTCTAGGCAATGTAGCACTTGAACCATCTTTCCCATTTCTACCCTCCCAATATGTTCAATTTATAACAGAACTGTAATAAAAAAGCTTTTCTTCTCTTCCTCACACACCTTGTGTGTGTGAAATAAAATTTCCTATATAATATTGTACCATTAGCATCCTTCAGTTTTAGTGATCACATATTACCAGCCACACCACCAGAATGTGGTTCAGAATGTGTATTTCTCCAACGTACATGTGTTGAACAGTTGGGTAGGTAAATGGGCCTCCCCCCCCCCATCTGTAATGACTTTCAAGAAAAAAACTGCCACATTGAGAGTCAAGGCTACATGGCATGATGTATAGTATGTACTTAGAATATTGTTTTCCTTCTTTAAAGATGAGGTAGTCTAGATCTGGATAGAGTGAATTTAAAAAAGTCTGTGTGTCCTTAGAAAACTGGGATAGTTGGTGTATATGCGTGTGTGTGTGTGTGTGTGTGTGTGTGTGTGTGTGTGTGGTTTGCCATCAAGTCATTTCTGACATATGGCAACCCTAAGGTGAACCTATCATGGATTTTTCTTGGCAAGATTTGTTTGTTGGCCATTGCCTTCCCCTGGGGCTGAGAGCATGTGACTTGTCCATGGTCACCCAATGGATTTCATGGCAGAGCTGGGAATCAAATCCTGGTCTCTAGAATTGTAGTCCAGCACTCAAACCACTACACCACACTGGCTGTATGCTGAGTATGAGTGCTATCCTCAAATTGTTGTGGTGGTTAAATGTCCTGAGGAAGTCTTCTATATTGCTCTGCAGAGGGGCAGGATACAAATTATTATTATTATTATTATTATTATTATTATTATTATTATTATTATTATTATAATATTCCTTTGTTGTAAAGCTGTCTCAGTGGTTCCATATGCTTGTTATACAGGATGCAGCACATGGAGATGAGTACAATAGTCTTACTGCTGCAGCAGGTATGGAGATATTAATTAGCTGGGGTGACTTTGCCTAGTTTCTATTGCATAGGAAGAAAAACCTTTTACTGGACTAATGCTAAACTGTACCTAATACTGTGCAAGGGGGAAAATGTAATTTTTTCCCAGATTTTCAGTCCCCTAATGAGAAAAGTTATCTTGCTTTTGACCTTGTGTAAACATTTGGCTCATTTTCTTCATCAGCTGCCACCAATAGGAAGACTACTTCAGTGGCGTTCTGCAAGTTTTTGTTCATTGTTTTGAATTTAGGAAGCAGAACTAATCTTGACCTACTTTTGTGGCTTCTTTAAGTGTCTGTTTAAATTAGAAGAGGAGAAGTTCCTTAGGGAAATTCCCAGAAATGCTATTAAGAGCACCCAGAATTTCATGGTGATTTTGCATAATAGCATTTATTACTATGCTGATAAAATGGACTCAGTTTCATTGAATGTTGTAATATATTTCTCTATACTTTGCAGCTATCTGTTTTATACGGACATCCAAATATTGAGAGAACTAGACAAAGTCCAGTGAAGCTTCACCTCTGAAGTGACATAGAGTCCAAACACATGGGCAGTATATGATGAGACAACCCTGTCATATTCTGTCTATAGATCTGTTCCCACCCTGTCATTTACACGGTATAGCATAGCATGGGCGTTTTGTTCAGGTGGTCATGTACCACTGTGCTGTGGAACTGTTGCTGCTGATTTGCCTGTTGCCGCTATTCTCCTTGCATAGTCCTGCTGTGGCCTGTAAGGGTGGAAATGGGTTGTCTAGCTTCACCGACATGGTCAGGCACCATCACAGGACTTGACAGCGCTGGGGCTTGCAAGGAGAATGGTAATGGCAGGTAAGGAGGCTGGCATGGTAAGCCTCTTTATTTGTTTCTTGAGAGACTAGGAATTCAAACTACAGGAAAAGAGATTTCACCTAAACATTAGGAAGAACTTCCTGATGGTAAGAGCTGCTCAGCATTGAGATACACTGCTTCAGAGAGTGGTGGAGTCTTCTTCTTTGAGAGGTTTTAAACAAAGGCTAGATGACATCTGTTGGGGGTGCTTTGATTTTGTATTCCTGTATAGCAGGGGGGTTGGTCTGGATGGTCCTTGTGGTCTCTTCCAACTTTGTGATTCTATGATTCTAAGTGCATAACAGGTAATGACTTTTTAGTTTATTGTGAACACCTGGATGAGCTGTACAAAGACATGTCTGATTTTAGGGTCTTTCTTTTGGTTAAAATGCAAGACTGGGCGATCAATCCATTCCTAAATATCAGCAGTGAGGAAACAGGAATAGTGGAGGAAGAACCGATTTTATTCTAAAATGACATTGAATTGGGGCGACATTTTTTTTAAAATTATATTTTTGGTTACCAAAAAAAAAAAAAAAAAGATTTTTGGTTACAAAAAATATTTCTGTTTGCTACTCTGAATAGTAGAACAAAGTCGAGATTTATGTTATTGCCTTCTCAATATCATATTTAGTACACCGTCATCAATGCAGTCATCTAGTTTATTTCCAAGCCAAAAAACAAACAAACAAACAAACAAAAAACAAAAACAAAACAGATTGAAAATGACTGAACATAGGGATCTAAAACTTCTTCTTAACGTCTTCCAGCTTGTTCTTGAAAAACTAATATCTTTTCACCAAGTACATATCAAGACAATCTTTTACAGATGAGATAAACACGTATTTTTTCAGTTTGATAAAAGTATTAAATAAATTCTGTACAGTCATGCTGGCCACATGATCACAGAGTAGTCTCTGACAACACTGGTTCTTTGGCTTAGTAACGGAGATGAGCACTGCCCCCTATGGTCAGATACAACTTGACAACCATGTCAACAGAAAATACTTTTGCCTTTACTTTTATTTTAGTTTTATTTGTGAACAAACATACACTTTGGGGTGAAATAGATGGGCTAAATAAAGTGGTTTCCAGCTGCTTTCAAGGCAGTGTGTTTAGACAACTGAAGCTATTCTCTGGGGCCAAAAATTGGGGCAAAAAGAAGTCAGGATATTCTGACTTAGCCCAGAAAATGTGCATCTTTGCTTCTGCATATAAACACTAGATGCGAGTGCGGGGCTGCATCAAAGCAAAGAAATGAAAGTGTGACAACTCCAATGACTGTAATTTCAACATATACAAACCAGATATTCCAATGGAGGCATGGGATGAAGGAGGGTGAAAGAGATATGTGGGGGGGGGGCCTCCATGATTGTGTTTTTTCAATTTATCACTCACACACCAATGTCCTTTATGGGCGGAGCATTGTACGTGTGACTGTGTAGCCGATCAATGGAGTAGAGTTGCAATGGGATGGCATCTGGGTGGATTTGGGAGGTACTTGAAGGTTGTATATAGTGTGCTTGTGTGATGGTGTACATGTATGGTGGGGAGGCACCAAAAATTTTCCAAGCAGCATGGCTTAACACTGCATGGTGTGGTGAGCCCATGCAAATTTGGCCCACCTTGGGAGCGGGTTGTGCTAGCAGCAGGGTTTTGCCCTGCTTTGGAAAAAAGCAGAATCTAATCACTTTTGCCTGCCTGTCTGTTCCAGGCCTTGCTTAACTTTTTATAGTACTGGATTGGTTGTTTTGAATTTGCAGTAGAATAGTAGTTTAATTAAACAATAGTTTAATCTCAAGAAATAGATTTGAGGCACTAGGGTTGTCCACCAAGAGGAACGGGAAAAGCAGCCTGTAAAACTTTGGGGGCCATTATTCTAAAGTCTGAACAGGATGCCATGACAGAAAGCACTGGGCTATTATTATTAGTCTTAAATGAACTAGATCCATTGATTCAATAGAAGTTACGTTAGTGTTGATTTTCCGAGTTCCCATGGATTCCATGGGTCTGTGCTAGTTGGGACTAACAAGTGGATATTCACCACTTTTGCACATACAGTCAGTAGAATTTCAAAATAGTGACACAACTTGAAGAATACTGACACAATATCTTGACTTAGATTTTAAGAGATCAGCATAAAGTATAATCTGTCTGAATGAATAACCTTAATCCAGGTTTTTGAGGTTTATATTGGCCAAGAGATTCTACTACCATTTAAAGGGAATATCAAGAATACCATATGCAGCGGTGCATATATCTTAAGTCACAGCTGGTGTCTAGTCCATATGGCAAGAATTCTTTATTGTAGATTAATATACCAAGTGTGATGGGATCAAGAAACCATTTTGTTGTTGTTGTTAACTGCCCTCGAGTCAATCTTGACTAATAGCCACTCTGTGGATGAGACATCTCCAAGACTTTCTGTCCTCCACTTCTCTGCTTAATTCCTGCAACCCCATGCCCATGACCTCCTTAATAGAGTCCATCCATCTGGCATGTGGCCTTCCTCTCTTCCTACTTCCCTCCACTTTTCCCAGCATTATTGTCTTTTCCAATGAGTCTTCCCTTCTCATTATGTGTCCGAAGTACAACAGCCTCAGTTTGGCCATCTTGGCTTCTAGGGAGGTTACACCTTTGACTTATCACATTCTTTAGCTTGTCCTTGGCTGTCCATGGGATCCTCAGCACTCTTCTCCAGCACCACATGTCAAATGAATTGATTTTTTAATTATTTTTCTTAACTGTCCAGCTCTCACATCCATACATGGTAATAGGGAATACGATGGCTTGTATGATTCTAACTTTTGTGCTGAATTGTATATCTTTGCATTTTAGAATCTTTTCTAGAAATGAAATTACACAATGCAAAAATGATTGTGAGAGGGTCCCATAGATTCTATGGTAAACTGTATATGCTGGGGTGGCTGGTAAGCTTCCACATACTTACAACTTCCTTCTACAATATATAGTTGTCAGCTGGAAGGATGTTATACTATTAAGGTAGGCTGTCATTTTCTAATACACAAGTTTTTTTAATTATTATTTTTTCTTTTATGTGCCTCATTTCTCCTGTAAAGGGACCCAAAGCACCTGACAGATAGTTTAGAATTCAAGATTTCCCTGCTTTTTGTATTTTTGTGATCTCTCATAACATACAGAATGATAACTGTGGGCATTTGTTATATATGAAATTGTAGTGGTCTTCAGCTTGTGTACATAGTTATTTTAATAGAAGCAATGTAATCATAAGTTATCTATAATAGTAAATACAGAAAACTGGATAGGATTGACTTGCCTGTCTACTCCCAACTCTGTTGAGTCAGACGTATAGCACTATCTACATGTCTTTCACAAGTAAATTCCAATGAATTCATTCATTGAGGCTTACTGCAAGGCAAGTATGTGAAGGATTGCAGCCTAGGTCAGTTGCACTCGTACCATTGATTTTAGCATGAAACAACTTGTTCTAGGTCAGTCTATCTAAGTGTGTAATACTAAACATGCCAGGGCTGGCATTTTGTTGGTAAGTCTCAACTAGAGTAGACACATTCATTCAATTGTTGGTCAGTCAGGATGTAAGTACATTCAATTGAGTAGGTTTGCTCTAGTCGGGATTATCAATAGATTTAGATCTAGTACGGTCCACAGGCCACATGCAGCTCCCAGGGCCATTTTGTGGATTCCAGGCATTTGTGCCAGGTTTAGAGCCCTCCCCTAGTTTTTATTTTTTCTTTTCTTTTCTTTTCTTTTCTTTTCTTCTTTTTTTCTTTTGCAATTCTTTTTTCATTTGTTCTTATTTGCCTCAAAATTATTTCTAAGGGCATAGGAGGCATTTCAACAATGTGAAGTCGTAGGCTTTCATGGCTGGCATCCATAGTTTTTTGTGGATTTTTTGGG